ACATCTTCTAAACTGAACTCTCACATAACACCAGGATCATTATCACAAAGCCTCTGCAATAAGATTATTCATTATAAACAAGATAACATTGCATATGCAACTAAAACTTTTTCTTTCATGATACACACATGAAATTAATGTACATATAAATGAAGAAATTGAACCATATTCAGATCAAGAAAATAATTGACATCATTTTTCCGTTCAATTGGCAACGTCCAAACATCCCTCATAAAATTGGCATAAGAGGTGCAATGAGCACAGCACTACCTTCGGTTCACAAAATTTCATTATTCCATTATGTTCTTAGGTTTACATCAATATATCACTCACATGTCTTCAAGCCATTAACTTAATACATATATTCTTAACCTAGTACATATATATATGCAATTATTATTTCAAACCAACTCAACACCATATACACTATAACATCATCACAGAATCCGCCATTTCAATCTCTATATGGATAGATAACAATTAAGACCATAACTTGAAAAAACCGTAACTCCTTCCAATATGCATGTACATATCTATGTTCCCATACTTTTACATGCATAGATTATACTCACCTTGCGAAAGTTGGAAACAAGATGGGAAACTGACCCAGGTGCCCTCTGATAAAACGTATGGAGTGCCATCACTGCCTTTTTCCTCACTGCTTCCTTTTGATGGCCCAAGAGCTCCACCACTTATGGCGACACTGCCGGGATTGTCTCTTCATTAATCAACCTACTCGCCGCATTCAGCGCAGCACAAACCACCAAATAATTATCGCTCCTCAAATCTTTCTGTATAGTATTTACAATCAAAATAATCAAATCATGGTCCTCATTTAAAAATAGTGTAACAAACAAGTATCCAATCCTTTTAAACAGCAAATTCTCATCATGGGTCATCTTGACAGCATAAATGTAGCCGAAAGAAGCGTCATGTCCAAGCATCTCAACATAAAGGAGACGTACAAGGTACTCTTTCAGCTTGAATTTTGGCGTATTCGGGTTAGCCAGTCGGGTTTTTAAAGTCTCAATTTCGCATAAAACTATTCGGTCCTCCTCGGTCTTGGATCGTGTCTATCCCAACCAATTTGATGAGGTCGAGGAACTCTTTGGACTGTCTGAACCCACCTTGAGAACCCATTGCGAGCTCCCGCCCGATCATCTTTAGTTGATCCATCTTTTATATAGGGAATGTCAGCCTCTACGTCATCAGTCTCCACGCCATCAATTTCTAGTTTACAACTAATAATTAGTGTCTCAGTTAATTAGCTTAATTACTCAGTTTAA